GGATCGGTGAAAGGGACTTCATCTCTGACTTGTATTTTCCGCCGATTCCTTGGGAAATTTTGCCCGTGCTTTCTGTTGCATAATATATTCGACGTATAGACGTGTTAATGACAGTGTGATTCAGAGGTTTCTATATTCAGAATAGTCAGAAATCGCGAACTTTCCAAGATAATATGAGCCGTTTACTTTGAAAGCGGCATAAGTCACTTTGTTTTTAAGTCGATATATTTAAGGGTTCGCGTTTTAATAGGTTTAAAAATATGGATGCTAACTTTCGAGAAGATTTACTTGTATTTGTTATCTCAGGATACCTTACGTACCTTTTAGATTATATTTTAAGAAACGAGTCAAAATTTTCGAAAATGCAACTTGCGTCGCTATACTGTAACAGTACAGTAAATTCTCCCTAATTGACGCTCAAATTGAACACAAAAATGGGCAATTTAGGAAGAGGAAATACGATTATTCGAGCTTTGCGACTCGTTTTTATAGTTACCGATTGTCAACAACTATAAAAACGAGCCACAAGGCTCGAATAATTGCATTTCGTCGTCCATTTTGGTTCATTACAATTGTCCATTTTTGTGCACAATTTGAGAGCCAATTAGGAAGAATTTACTGTATTTATTGTTATCGATGCATATATGGCATTGAGAAATTGTAAGATACTCATCATATGAGCCGTTTATATATATTTTGAACGTGGCATAAGTCACTTTGTTATCTCAGGATACTGATATTTTTCTCGGTATAAATAATTTCGTATAAACATTAAAAAGTCACCACTTTTCATTACGGTAAAGTGACTTATGCCACTTTCAAAATAAACGGCTCATGTATTGTGTTGGCAACTAAGTAATTGCCGATTTCAGTTATAGATGTCTCTCACTCCCATTTTTACGATATCCGTAAATGTTATATTATAAAATTATTATTATTATTATTATGTTATTTTTTATTATCCGTGAATGTTAGCAACTGGACAAATTGAATGCAGCGGTCAAGGAAAAGCGACCAGAATTGGTCAATCGTAAAGGTGTCATTTTCCAGCAGGACAATGCTAGACCGCACACGTATTTGTCCACTCGGCAAAAATTGATGGATATTGCTTGAGAATTGATGTTACACCCACCATATAGCCCTGATCTCGCGCCATCGGATCACCACTTATTTCGATCCCTGGACAACTCCCTTCGTGGTAAAACTTTTAATGACGACGACGCTGTAAAATCTCACTTAACTCAGTTTTTGGCCGAAAAGGATCAGACTTTCTACGAGCGTGGAATTTTCAAGTTGTCGCAGAGATGGCGAAAGGTCACCGAACAAAATGGAAAATACATTACAGATTAAACTTCATTCCAAGTAAAAACAAATTTTTATTTCATTGAACAAATCGGCAATTACTTAGTTGCCAACCCAATAGTTCTCCTGCCGGCCACCTTTATTCTTATGTCCCACTTTCTTCCATTTCAATTTCTTGCCATTGGATATCCTAGATACCTTGTTCCATAAATAATTCTCTGACATAGACAAATTGTAATGCTGTTCTCGAATTCTAACTAAGCAAAGTTGTTCAATTTGGAATGTTGTCATGCACTATTATCTTTACAGTTACAATGATTTTCGCTTGTTCGACTGAAAGTATCTCGTTACAAAAGTTCCACTTAAAGTGATATAATTATCGCGTGCCTACATCGAGCGCTTAAATATTGATGAGAACAGAACTTTATTCTCATTTGAAAGAACGCGCGTTATTCCTATTTTAAATTCATACTTAACAGATTATTAATAGAAATCACCATCGAAGATTGGTCAAACTAGGGCACAGGGTTAAGCTTGCATTCTTCACTCTGAATCTTTCAATTTAAATTTTGAAGTTCTTGAGTTGAATTCGTAAACGTGATGTTGCTGAATCGTTAACTTTGAAGGTCTTTGAATATCTACGGAACGTGCCGAGTCGACAAGCGTTTGTTTATATTATCCTTGATTCAATTAACGTTTAATCGCAACAATTTGTCGTCACAAGATATTTCACATTTTTTCTTTTAAAATCGTTGACAAATTATTAAGAGTCTAATGTAGAAGATGATCAACACGTTCAGCGCGGAGCCGATTTTGCTGAGTTTTCCGTCGAGGCAGCAGACTGGGATTATTTTTTAACCTTGATACTGCCGGTCCCATGCGTCGATGCCGTCTAAACGATAGCTTCGCTGTCAATTCCTGGTAACTGACGCCGCCAAAAAAAGTACACTGTCAGTCCAAGAGGATTGACACCGTCCAAACGGAAAGTCCATTGTCAGCTCCAGGGGGCTGACTCCGCGCACAATGTGTTAAATAAATTTCTCAATTCGAGCACGCGTTACGATAAAAATAGCAAGATGTCTAAATAAATTCAGTCTTGTAATTCTTATCTAAAACGACGCGTATCAGAGATATTTTTGTGCACGGCAGGTTCGGCGTTAATCTTTTAGGCCCGACGCGCCACTATAGTGGCTTTCACGGATGTCATCTTTCAAAACGACACGCCGCTATAGTGGCTTTCGCGGATGTCGTCTCTCTGGACGACGCGCCACTATAGTGGCTTGCTCTAGTAGCTCACTCGCTCATCGTTTGAACCAAATAATCGTCTTCATATGCATTGTTTCGCACTTCTTTTGTCTTCGCATCGATTTACAACAGTCAGCAGGGTGTTCCAAAAATGTCTCGCAATCCGGAAATGGCGGGTTCCTCGGATCATTTGAAGCAACTTCTTCCTTTACAAAAATGTTCTCCGAGGCACCGTTAACGAGTTATCAACGAAAAACAGTGACCAATAAGAATCGTGTACGGCTGACGCGAGGCGGCCCAGCCAACCAGCGCGCGAAGCCCAGTTCCGCTCATTGGCTCGATCGCCGCGCGCCAGCTGAGCTCGCCTCTCATTGGTCACTGTTTTTCGTTAATAACTCGTTAGCGGTGCCTCGGAGAAAATTTTTGTAAAAGAAAAAGTTGCTTCAAATGGCCCGAGGAACCCGCCACTTTCGAACCCGCCATTTTTGGGACACCCTGTATATACAGTATCAGACTCTGTCGTCCAGAGAAATAGCCTCGCGCAGAATTCAGCCGTACCTAAGATCGCGAATGCTCGACTTCGGAGGTCCTTGAAGCCCTCCGCGCCGGAACGAACGATCGTCGCTCGGTGGTAGACGACGAGAATTTCGTCGAGATCCGTTGATCTTTATCGTAAACACGTACGCCATTATCGCCGGAGCGCAAATGATAAACGAACGGCATCGAAACGTGTCACGACTCGCTTCAGAATCCGCAGGCAAACAATCCTTCTTTCCCTCCGATCTGCTATCTGGCGCAATTGATTCGATAAGAACGCCCGGCCGTAGAACGTGCACAATGCAACGGGGCTATCGACGGGAGCCGGTTCCGACTTTATTCAAAAGGTCGGCGATGCGGAGATTTGCTGAACGTTAGTCACGTCGCGAAATAGATTTTCAGACGCGCGCGTACCCGTTAATAAGGAACAATGATACAGACGGCGCAGCCCCGGGCACCATTACACGGTCCGCCGCCGCTGCAAAGATCAGAGTCATAAAGCGCAAAGCTCTTAATTAACGATTTTACTCGTCTCGTTGCGCATTACCCTCGTCCCTCGAAATTGCCGGGCAAGTTCTCGGTTCGACGCGCCGGTATTTTAACCTCTTTATCGCTCCGGCAGATCTCTCAGTGGCGCGTTTCGTCGAGTTCGAACAGAACGGAAAAATGGAGCGGGGATCGCGTGCGAGCTGAATTTTCCGGCTGCTCCCCGACGCCGACTGAAATAACGGACGATCTTCCCTGAAAACGGGGCTTCAGACCTGCTCGGATAAATCCAGGCGACGTACAGGTTCATCTTGAAACAATGCCGCCGCTCTTTGGACCCGCACTTTGTCTGATACGACTGTACAAAAAATAGTGTACGAACGACGGGAACGTTGACGAGCGTTTCGAAGCTGCCTTACAAATGTTCGAAGTACTAGATAATTATGATAATTTGATGAAAGTTGATCGTAAACGTGCTTCGTTTAATCCGGGCGAGCTCGATCAATTTATACGACAAAAAGCATACAGAGAAATTTGAATAATAATTCGAATAATACATTTGCCGACGATGTTATAAAAAATACAAGGATGCGAGCGATGCATTATTATTATTATTATTATTGATATTTTGTATAAAAGCAGATTGATGAAAATTGATAGGGCATGTGTAATAATGATAATATATCGAAAACAATGTGACAGTATTCTTAGATTCTTTCAAAATCGTGTACAGGGTTTTTAATTATATTACACCGGAGCCATGCTTTTGAATTCTTGAGATTATAGCCCTTCGTTAAGTAAGGCTCTTCCGATTAGAATAACTTCGTAGAAAAAAGAAAAGGAATATTCATCGTGTGCCTACATTTTCTTGCCTGCTTGAATATTTATAACAAGCGAACGGGAATTTTATTCCGACTTGGAAGAATAGAATAATGTTCATACTTAACAGTTAACACTATTATATAATATATAATATATACTATTATACTATATACTATAATTATAATTATATACTATATAATTATTATATATTATATTATATACTATATATACTATATAATTATTATATTATATTATATACTATATATACTATATAATTATTATATTATATTATATACTATATAATATAATAATATATATATTATATAATAGTTAACTGTTAAGTATGAATATTATTCTATTCTAATATATAATATAATATAATATAATATAAAATATTAATTATATTATAATTATAATTAATATAATATATAATATAATATATATCTAATATATAATATATATAATATAACCATTATTATAATCTCCAAA